AAAGGAAAGGAAAGGAAAGGAAAGGAAAGGAAAGGAAAGGAAAGGAAAGGAAAGGAAAGGAAAGGAAAGGGTGCAACCATGCCGCTCCACCTTCTCTTTCTACAGCAGAATTTTAAACTTCAAAAGCTGGCGCAGAAATGAACTGTGGATAATAATAAATCAACTCTATTAGTTTTTAGCACAATTTCATACATTCTGGTTCTCCTAAATGCAAACATTTCTGCTTCTGTGCAACTTTATAACAATAATTAGTCCTACATTTCTATTCACTGACAGTTGACTCAGATTAATCTCTGAAACATCAGAGGTGCTTTATTTGTAGTGAATTATGTTTAATCTTTCTTTTGTGACATTTTACAAGACAATTTTGTAGTAATACATACATTTTCTCTTATTGTTTCCCTTTTTAATTTGAAAGTGTTTCTGGAACTACAATAATAATAACATTTATTTTGATTTCAACACCATATCCTTTCAGCTACAGCCTTGAGTAGCATTAGTTTGTTTACTTCAATTAAAGTGGCTGTCAATGTGTTATTAATCAAAAGCACAAGAGTATAGATGTTTGTTTATTTATATTGGAGGGTTATTGTTGCACAAATCCCTGACATTTTTATTATTGTCAATTTCACTGCATAAATTTGTGGATTTTTTTAAATGTAGCATTTAAACAAAACTATAAAACGCTCTCATACCTATCTAATGCAGTGTGAACACCACATAGATGAGAGGACACTAATGACAGCAGATCACAGAGTTTAAAACCATCCAGCCTGGCAGGAAACCGGCCACTAACACATCACTGGGAGCCAGTAACTGAGCGGGAAATAGGAACATGCTAGGAACTGTACGAGGAGGCAGAGGCTAGCCTCGGAAACAGCACAGAAACATGCGAGGCCTTCCTAAAAACCGGTCTAATAACCAACTAAATTACCCTCATAACAAAACTAAAACAAGCGAGTAAAGCGTCGCTCATGATCAACAACTCAATCAATGTATAATRTGTAAATAACTTCAACTGTCCTCGTAAATGTTCATTTGAATGGCTGTAACACAGCCTCAGATGACTAAATTCAGCTACAAAAGTTTAAAAAAATCGTACATGATGAGGCAGTGTTAAGGGTTAAAACGTGCCCACACAACTTTGACCGCAGTTTTTTAAAAAACACATTTAACAACATTAAAAAGTGGCTACGTCCGTAATAGCTTCCCTGTTCTGAAGGTTGGCGTTTCAACAAGCAGAAACCTGATTTACCCGTCAACCAAACCCGTGCGACACTGTAATCTGAGTGAAATTATATGAAAATGGCTACGAAATTATATTAAATCAGTTAAATGGGGAGAAGCTTGGCGAGCTGATAGCTCCTTAATTACTGCAAAGCTTTGTTATTGATGATGTCGAACATGTATGTGTATCGATTGAAAGTTAATCACCCATAATATAATTATAAATGTCAAAGGGTGTAAATAGGTGCATACATATATACGTTTTGATATATGTTTTATTTAAGAGGGGAGAGGGGGAAAAAAAGCAACAGCAGCGTGTAAATGTAAACGAGCAGCTCTGCTGTGGAATGCCGGAGAGGAAAGCTAGCTTCGACGCAGGCTAATTTTAAGTGTCATTTTTAAAAACCAAATACTGACATTAATGCAGCGTTTGGTTATATTTCTAGGGCAAATATAAACCGAATATCTTAGCACAAATGTTGGAGAAGRGCTAAATTAAAACAACACGTTTAAATTTAACAAAGTTAGGCCGTGCTTTAGCCGTCTGTTAGCTTAGCATTGCTAGCTTAGCCTCGGGCTAACAGATGTGTTCAGGAATGGAAGCAACATATTTCACCTTTGATAACCTGGGAGAACAAGGGATGCACGAACAGCGCTGGGTAACACTGGCGACGTACCTTCGTGTGACCCGCTGTAAGAACAAATCAGAGCAGATTCACCATCACAACAGAAGCAGCGGCTTTTCCTCCCCGATCGGCTCCGGAGTGCTGCTGTATTTCTGCTGCTCAGCGTCCGTCTTCGAAACGACACACCGATGTGTTACCAGGCGCCATTTCCCGCCTCTGCTCGGGCTCTACGAAGAACGTTTGGGACACAGACACACCCCCTTTACCTCTCTCCTCTCTCTCTTAAAAAAAWATTCTGATTTAGCTTCAAAATCTGAGTCAAGTCAGTCTAATCCAGTTCATTTAATGCTGTTACACATGCAGATTTGAGTAGGAATGAATTAAAATATGACAGCACAACAAAAATTGTGACTCCATAAGGGTACTCAAATTGATAAAAACATATCCCAAACTACTTCAAATAGTGCCGTTTGCATTTACTTCAGTAGTCTTCCATATTGACATTTAACCCTGAAATGTGGGTCCACAATGAATGTAAACAAAGCATTTTTATCTATACTTAAGATTTCTTTTTGTTTCTTAATGACATTGTAATGTGTGCTTTATATGTGTAACAATCTAATTACTACAATGGCTGTTGCAATAATTTAGCATATTTGAGTGTTTTCCCAATTACGTCTTGATGTCTCACAAATCCCACCGTTTATAAAAGAGAAATAAGACAAAAATATGAAAACAGTGCTTTTGCTGAAATCATCGTCAAGGTTTTTTTGTTTGTTTCAGAGCTAGATATATCACCTCGCTCACTACTGACAATAACAATTACATGAGGTAAAAAGTGACAAATGACAGAAGCATCACCTTTAATTAAATTAATTTACATTCAATATGCCTTTCCATGAGAAATCATTTTTCCAGGTTGCTCAAACAACCAGTGTCAGGATCACAGATTTCCCCAAAAGGWGAGGAATGAAGTTTCCTCCATCCAAAAATGGTAACAGTTCAACAGTTGAAGAGACCTGATGGAAGCGTGGCTCTGTCAGTTCCTCTTTCAGCGCATCCTGGGAGATACTAACACCATTGTAAGTATTGCTTAAGCAATGGTATGTTGCTCAGTTTGATTACCAAAAAAAAAAAAAAACAAGTTTGTATGCATGCAACGGCGTATAAAAACTGAATGAGGAACATCTTCGAGTCTTTCTCACAAAACAATTAATAGGCCACAAGCAAAGTCCTTGGCAATTGAATTTGTGACTCCAGAAGAAAAAAAAAACAGGTCTTCCATCCATCCCATCAACACGTTAAAAAGGCAGGAAGTCCCATTAGTGTCTTTCATAAGTTTCAGTATTCCCATTTTTATAAAATAGGAAGTATTTCTTCATATCAAGCAAAAAAAAAAAAAGTAGAATTAAAAAAGAAAGTTCGAAGGAGAAAGGGCTCTTCTACTGCTCCAGAATGAACCGAAGCTTTTAACCAGAACCAAACTTAGTCAACATACAGTACATCATCTCCATCATTACTTAAAAAAAACTATCAGCAAATCTATAGCAGCTCAGGAAAATGCAATATTTTCTTTGTATTATGTTGTATTATTCTGAACTAAACAATTAGTTACAACGTCTCACAATAGTCCGCAACGCTGTGGATCTACAAGTTCTTTAACTCTGTGATGTTCGAACTGTTTTCTCAGGAGCGACCTTGATTGTAGAGGAAGGTCCCCGAGTGTTTTAATAAGTTATAGCTGCAGGAGATCCCACTCAAAGAATGTCGTTGGCTTGATGTCTTTTCCCATAATCCACAGCCCGATCTCCTTGAATGTCACGATCATCGTCATCTGGGGAGATTTAAAAAAAAAATGCAAACACAGATATGTAAATAAACAGAGCACAGCTGCAATTAAACACTGCATCACAAAAATAATAAAATAAAATAAAGTTATTGAACAAATTCCTCCAAGGGATATAAATATCTGTTAGAATAAACCTTTTGAACATTTATGTGCAATAATCAATTTAAATAACTTTGCAGATTATTATCTGAATAACACTTTTACACACATGATAATTAAATTGTAAATGATGGACGTTTTGACAAATAATGACAAACACAATAAATGACAAGTCTGAATGAGAGAAATTAGGTTTTCTTGAATGGAGCAAAACAAAAATAGGCCTTTTCTAGATGTAATATTCAAATAAATAAACTCTAAAGTCAAAAATCGTCTGCAAGAAGCCGTCACAAAAACACAAACATGCATTTCAAATGTTTCGAGGAGAACAGACACACATTCAGGAGCACAGTGAGCTAAATATATATCCACTGGTCTAGATGTGGGTCAGATGTTTGGTGGGCACAGACAGGTGGTTTAGCTAAAAAGAAGCACAGGCACAACAGAGAATACTAGATGGCGACTGGGTTACTCTCACAGAACCACAAGTTCAAGGATCAAGTTGTCCCTACAGGTGGGTGTTCTCATCCTGAACCACTTCCACAGCAGTCCTTGAATATTTCATCAGAATTCATGAACATCTGGATTTATTTTTGCACAAAACCAAAACTCAGGGTTACTGTGAGCTACTCAGGATGAATGAAGCGGTGCAGGAGCAGGACAAGTGTGGAGGAAAGGAGGGTAGGGGAGGGTGGGAGAATGGATGCACACTGGACAAAGCAGTCCACAGATCCCCTCGGACCTGGCTCACCTTGAACGTCTTCCTCCCCACCATCACCATCCTCTTCCTCATTGTAGGCAAGCTCGGCCTGCTTGTCGGCCTCATACTCACCCACGTTCCCGTCGTCCCCATTGTAGTCCGCCAGCTTAGAGCCGTGCTGCGGATCTACTGGGGACTCGTTCTCATCAAAGAACCGGCCTGCAGGAGGCAGAGAAGGGCCCTCATCAGGAAAACAAGGGGGAGCAGAGGCAGAGGTGTAGGGGGACGGAGGCTGAAATAAGATTCGTAACAATGCGAGAAAGGACCAAAGTGTTGGCTGAAAAAGAGTGAGCTGAATTCATGATGGAAGGTTCTAACTGGAAGAGATTTTCCTGAGGAGGGAGAAGGTAGAGTTGTTGAGTGCACCAGTAAACATATAAAGTGTGAAGCCCGTTCAGTCCTATACACCCACCCTGCACCTGAGTTTGTGTGGAAAATCCCAGATTTATAGTTTTCATCCCTGTACGTATAAATGAACTAAACTGTTGGCGACATGTTGCCTTGTTGCTTAAACACAAGTGGATTTCTTTTACTGTGAGTTAGATAATGCAACTATAAAACTTGTACATATTAGGGTTGGGAAAAAATCGTATCATGTGCAATTAACAGTCAGAAAAACCTGAATCGATTATTTGTTTTTTTTAGACAATTAATACGATTAATGCCACCAGGCAGACTGACTGGAGATTTCCCCCGGTCAGTCCGCTCAGTGCTCTGCTCCACTTCAAATATGATTTTATTATTATTACTTGTCATAACTCCAGTTTTACTTGGTCTATCAACACAGCCTGAAGTCTGTACTTTTGGCAAAATTTGGAACAGATTTTTACAGAGAGCAAATCTTTCCCATTAGAGTGATTTAAATTAGTCATGTGACTAGGACATGCAGGCATCCAGGGACTCCAGGGGATTAATCGTCATATTAATTGTTATCGACTAAATACCAAAATTAATAGAGATTAAATTTTTGCAAATATTGCCCAACCCTAGAACA